ACTGTGGTGGCGAGTCCACAGTCTCCTCTGTCTCGACACTCATCACATCCACCTCCTCGGAGGAAGATAGATGAAGCGTCTTGCTCTCTCTCTCTGGGGGGGTGGGAAGAAACCGCAGCGCGGGCTTCCGAACACTGAGAGAGAGGGTGAGGACCGAGAAAAGGACGAGCCCGTCTCGGATCCCTCCGTTAAATCCACCCGCGATCCCCACGACAACAGTCTGCGCTGTGCCTCGGCAACAGTGGGACCGCTACCAGTGGGATCGCGAGCCTGGCCACTGTCATCAAATACAGCCAGGTGAGAGCGGAGCGTGCGCAGCGAGAGCAGCTCGCAGTGATGACAATCAGCTCCTCGAAACCTGACCGTGCAAGCTCCGCTCCCAAACAAACGACACACAAATCGTGTGTATCCCCCGCCGCCAGATATCGTGGGAAGGGAGGAACACAGCATTTGTAATGCCATTCGCTCACCATAGACTTTTTCATGATTGTTTTATATATATGCTTGTGCGGACAGACAACAGTAAATAGACAGACACATACACTGGTTTGCGCTCTGCCGGATGCGCTTTTATACTTTCTGGTGCTTACGTCACCCCGCTCGTGACGTCTTGCTACTCCATTGGACTGATTTGACACGTGCTTCAGAACGCGGCCACGCAGGGGCATTCCCAAAGCGACTTCGACGCAGCTCGAGTTCCTGAAGGGGAACAACCCAAATTGGGTTGTTTTTAACCCAGTGTTTTTTAGAGTGTAATTAATCTATTTGTGCTTAAATATGGTGCTGTCCTTCATGATATGAGCATAATGGCCTGAGAAGAGAAAATTGTTTGGATCCCGTTGCCTTCCTCAATTAGGTTGAATCATCTGCTGACTTCCTGCGTCTTGCCCTTAGAATACTAATAACTATCTTTGTGGGGATATCAATGTCAGAGTCTGTGTTTGAGATAGGCAGCATGCAATATTCTTCAGCTTCTGAGGGATCAAGCAGAGTTTGCTCAATAGAGGAGGTTTCCCGTAGCTCGGAGGAATCATATTCTGACAGGGATCTTTCAGTAATCAGTGGCTTTGCACAGAGAATTAACTAACCATTCAAAACAACTACCTTCCTGCTCTAATGTGCGATTACAGGATTTGAAATTCAAGCAGCAAAGGAAATCCAGCAAAGCCTGGAGCCACCATATGTTCCTTTTACTTTATATAGAAATAATGAGCCATTTGTGCATTTCCTATTAAAATATTTGCATACCAAACACTTGACTTGAATACTGACTCGAACAGCCCATTCATCCAACCTGTGTTCAGAACTCTCCATTCATCTTAGCTACACAGCTAGTCACCGCTAACTCTGCCCCCATACAAACCCCACTGCTGTTCAGCATGACAATTTACAAATATGGATTTTCCACTAATTATACTGAGTGTGTTTAAAAGCTTTTAAAATCCATATGCCCTGAAGAGTCTTCGCTTCAATTGTTCTGAGGGTAACTACTTCTGGGGATGACAGTAGTATAACAATCTGAGAGAGGAGAACCATGAAGCCAGGAGGTGTAACCACTAATTGACTGAATCCGAACAAACGCTATCTTCCTTTCTATCTCACATGCAACTCGAACTTTTCTTATCTACATGTTTCTCTCCTGGCTCAGTCCACACTAAATCTGCACCTACAGAACTACAGATTTAATTTTTCTTTATTAAGTCAAATGAAAACTATGGAAGCTTGTTTCTGCCACTGAATGAAAAATAAAAACAGTAATTGCAACTTCTTATCTCTCAATTCAGACTTTTTTCTCGCAATTGTGAGTTTGCATCCCACAATTCTGACTTTTTTTAATTGCATGATATAAACGCATCAGAATTGCATGATATAAACTCGCAATTGTGTTACAGTCAGAATTGCGAGAAAGACAGGCAGAATTATGAGTTTATATCTCACAATTCTGAGGGATAAAATAAGAATTTTGAGATATAAACTCAAAACTCCAAGGAAAAAATGGGCTTCCATTTAAGACAGTTTTAGAAACTTTTTGTTTTCCTCATTTCTTTTTGCTAATTTTCTAATTCTTTTTAAATATAGACTTTATTATTTTACTCTTGTCCAAGACCCAGAATTTCAATCTTAAAAGTTTGAAAATCATCATTAAACTACAATGACAATATTAAAATATGTGTGTAAGTGATATATTTATTGTGTGAAAATGATTTATGCAAATTTTTACACAAACTACTGTCCCCGAATTTAATAATTTCCATCACAAATCACAATTAGCATAGTGGATCAAAACCAAAAGTTAGTGTACTCGGTTACCATGGAGACAACAGTATCAGGGAAGAGAATTCATGTGATGAATTATGAGAGATGTGATGTGTGAAAAAAAAAACTGAACAGACTGCTTTTATTGTGTGTCTCCAATCAGTCTGTAATTTTCTCAAATTATGCATAAGTGTGAAATTATTATTTAATTGTCAGTATTTAGGATACACAACATGCTAACAATGAAATTAGCCTTAAAAAGACTATGGAGTCTGACATATTAATCCAAAAATCCAAGATTTTTTCCCCCACAATTCACAGGGCCAAAAATGTCCAGTTGAAGCAACACCCTTACCCATATCTGCATTTTAAAAGTTTTTTGGAATGAATTTTGTTCAAATATAAGGTAGCATTTGATTTTTGCTCCTAATTTGACATTTAAAATAAATCAGAATAATTAGTGCAGAAAACATCAAATACTCAGACTCAGTGTGGGTTGCATACCATGACAGAGATGTGCAGGATACGAAGCTCCTCCTCGGCGGAGTCACTAGCGGGGTAAGCGGTGGCCGCCGGGCCAGGCAGGTTCTGACTGCCGTCCTGATGGTGGATGTGGAAGAGCAAAGTACCATTTTCCAACCACTGCTGCCTCCAGCGCACCAGGGGGATGTCTTCAGAGTTCCCAGAGATCTCTGCAAATATAAACAAAATATAATATAAACAAAATCAGGTTCAGTAAATATTTTGTGTTGCACAGTGGCGCTAAAAATGGGGTGTGCAGTATATGCAGTGTATAGGGGTGCAGCATGGCAATCATAAAATGTTATAAATAATCAAAAGCTTAGTTGATAAACAACGTAACATGAAACATTTTTATTTAATGGTTGTTTAGCATTTGAATACATTCAAAAATATATCTATTTTAAACTGAGTACATATCAACCGCTCTTCGACACATTGCTGTAACAGACACGGTCACATTCATTTCATTCATTCCTTTTATTTATAAAGCACTTTACAACTGCACCTGCAGACCAAAGTGCTGTACAATCAACATACAGGTACATACAATACATGAAACACAAACAATCCAAATAAAAACACAGATACTAGCCCAACTCCTTGAAAGATAATGACAAGAAATATTTTTTAACCCCAGCTTTAAAAACATTTATGGATGTAATCGCTCTAATCTCAGATGGTAGGCTATTCCAAAGCCTTGGACCTGCAACAGCAAAGGCCTGATCCCCTTTCAGCTTTAAATGAGTTCGTGGGACAGTAAGAAACAACTTATTTGTTGATCTTAAAGACCTAGATGACTGTCGGAAAGTAATCAGCTCAGACACATAAGCAGGAGCCATTCCATGCACTGCCTTGAACACATACAACAGAACCTTATATTGTATCCTGAAACCCACTGGTAGCCATCTGAGTGAGGCCAAGAAAGGAGAGATGTGTTGACTTTTCTTAGCACTCACAAGCAGCCTAGCACATGACCAACATGAATAGAGGAGAGAAACGTTCAGGGGTGCAGAACAGAAAAGACAAAGGGGAAAAGAAAAACAACACATTAAAATGAGGACAGCAATGCCCAAATGAACTAACAGAGATTAGTAAACTCACCCTATTATTTTTTTCATTGTAAGTCATTAAGTCATTCCAAATTTTACATTGTTGCCTAAGAGTGCAAAGTGGTTAACGTTAATATCAGTTCATTTCTGAGAATAAGAGAAACTGAGAAGATTTTTATTTTTTTTTTGCCGCTATATTGAAAATGAGAGGGGGGAGGGGGTTCACACTTTTTTTTTCACTCCTGATAAGTTTGTATCTTTCCATGCACAAGCTAGTTATTGAGCTTTTAGCCACTGACTTACAGAAACGTTTCTGTGAGGGTTAGTGTTAGGAGCGCCCACACTGATCTTGCATACCCCTCAGCAAATATGCAGTTGTGCCCCTGGTGTTGCATTGAGAAGTGCGTGATGGTTTGCAGGATAAATCAGAAATGCTACTGTCATGCAAATATACGCAGTATACTGTGACTATACATTATTCATATCACTCCAGACATTTTAGGAATAGCAAAGTAATCCCTACGGCATTCAAACTTCACGTTAGAAATAAACTTGAAACAGCCTCAAGTCCGGTTAATGGATGCAGAGACAGATGACTTCAGCTTGTCAGAACAAATACACATTAATAGGAATAGTGCTACTGGACGTCACATTAACAGATGATTTAGGTGGAGAAATAATAAATAGGCTTTCCTTTTACTCAAAGCAAACTGAACATATGTTCTTGACATTGCATATAGTCTGTTTGATAAGTAAGGACAGAGGATTTGGATAAGCCTTTGAAAATGAGTAAAGTGTCATTTTATGACAGTTTATTGAACTATATGGGTGGGGTCATACACTGGATACATGTTTAGACTTTTTAATGGCTGCTATAGAATTCTCTTTTTGTTTGTCTGATTAAACATTTATTCTTAAACATACTGATGTACTGCTGAAACAAATGAAAAACAAAGCTTTTGACCTGTGCTGCCTCTTATACATTAGTAATATTTTACACAAAGGGAAGGCAGACATCCCCTTTCAAAATGGTGCTTGCAGACTGCAAATCGAGGAGAACCCCTGACCCACTTTATGAGTTGTATATGCACAGGCACAAGCCAGAGTGACTCTGCACTTCATCACTAGACGTCATACACAGTCCCAAGGGTCCGGTGTGGTACGGCACCTTTATTAATGAAACAACACGCATGATACAACAAACAAAGGAATGTTGCAGGAATAAATTACTGCTGTTTGCTTGTTTCCTTAAGGGTTTCTTTAACCATGAGCAATTTTGCCCCTGTGGACTTTTAGAAAATAAACTCTCTTAAAACACATTTACAAGTTCTTACTACTTTACTTCTCTACAAAAATGTGTTTATTTTTTTTGTTCTTATTTCTATTTTTCTTTGAAAGTCACGAACACTTCCAGAACAATATCATGTAATTTCCACAACTATGTATTTAGTTTAATAGCATTCTGTGATGGACACAATTCCTTTGTTTTGTTAGGTCTAATTTCATTATCTAGTATTTTGCATATCTTAAAATATAAAGTAAGTAAATAAAATAAATACAATTATATTACATGTTCACAATTTTTTTATATATATATATTTCACTCTTTTAGTTTATCATAGTTTTAAAACATGAATTGCATGTACTGTAACTCATATTTTAATACATTTTATATCTTTAGAAGTTTGATAAGCACAAATAATTAATATAGGTTTCCAAGTTCCAAAAGGCTTCCAAAACAATGCAACCTTCATATGACAAAAAGAAAAAGCTGCAATCTTTTAAAGAAAAAAAAAATAATAAAAATCAACTGCTGGGATGAAAATGTGTCCAAAGTTGAAAAAACACACAAAATTGTCCTCATCTCTACATTCAGCAGGATGCACTTTTGATTTTAAATCACTTTAATTTGACATAAATTTTCATCAAAATGTGCATAAATAATACAAAATCAAGAACCCAATAGATATGATAAAATATAAAATAAGATCAAATTAACTGTTTAATTAGCTGTTATAAATCTGACTTTGAAATTAAATATGATCCCGACAGGTCACGCATTCCATAAAATAACCTGAAGACTTTAATTTCACACCCTGAATCCTTTCCATTATTAAACAGTTTTATTTTCGTGACGATGCTGTCAGTTCAATCAACTCAACTTATTCAGTGTCATGACAAATTTGTAAAACCAACCAACAGAATAAATATATTGGAGAGAAAGGTGGGGTCATACACTGGATACATGTTTAGACTTTTTAATGGCTGCTATAGAATTCTCTTTTTGTTTGTCTGATTAAACATTTATTCTTAAACATACTGATGTACTGCTGAAACAAATGAAAAACAAAGCTTTTGACCTGTGCTGCCTCTTATACATTAGTAATATTTTACACAAAGGGAAGGCAGACATCCCCTTTCAAAATGGTGCTTGCAGACTGCAAATCGAGGAGAACCCCTGACCCACTTTATGAGTTGTATATGCACAGGCACAAGCCAGAGTGACTCTGCACTTCATCACTAGACGTCATACACAGTCCCAAGGGTCCGGTGTGGTACGGCACCTTTATTAATGAAACAACACGCATGATACAACAAACAAAGGAATGTTGCAGGAATAAATTACTGCTGTTTGCTTGTTTCCTTAAGGGTTTCTTTAACCATGAGCAATTTTGCCCCTGTGGACTTTTAGAAAATAAACTCTCTTAAAACACATTTACAAGTTCTTACTACTTTACTTCTCTACAAAAATGTGTTTATTTTTTTTGTTCTTATTTCTATTTTTCTTTGAAAGTCACGAACACTTCCAGAACAATATCATGTAATTTCCACAACTATGTATTTAGTTTAATAGCATTCTGTGATGGACACAATTCCTTTGTTTTGTTAGGTCTAATTTCATTATCTAGTATTTTGCATATCTTAAAATATAAAGTAAGTAAATAAAATAAATACAATTATATTACATGTTCACAATTTTTTTATATATATATATTTCACTCTTTTAGTTTATCATAGTTTTAAAACATGAATTGCATGTACTGTAACTCATATTTTAATACATTTTATATCTTTAGAAGTTTGATAAGCACAAATAATTAATATAGGTTTCCAAGTTCCAAAAGGCTTCCAAAACAATGCAACCTTCATATGACAAAAAGAAAAAGCTGCAATCTTTTAAAGAAAAAAAAAATAATAAAAATCAACTGCTGGGATGAAAATGTGTCCAAAGTTGAAAAAACACACAAAATTGTCCTCATCTCTACATTCAGCAGGATGCACTTTTGATTTTAAATCACTTTAATTTGACATAAATTTTCATCAAAATGTGCATAAATAATACAAAATCAAGAACCCAATAGATATGATAAAATATAAAATAAGATCAAATTAACTGTTTAATTAGCTGTTATAAATCTGACTTTGAAATTAAATATGATCCCGACAGGTCACGCATTCCATAAAATAACCTGAAGACTTTAATTTCACACCCTGAATCCTTTCCATTATTAAACAGTTTTATTTTCGTGACGATGCTGTCAGTTCAATCAACTCAACTTATTCAGTGTCATGACAAATTTGTAAAACCAACCAACAGAATAAATATATTGGAGAGAAAACCACTGTAATGTCAGTGCATCACATCTACTTTGAGCTCCAAGAGGACGCACATTTTGAGCTCCAACACGCACATGTGATGGTCACTGCTCCTGGACACAGGTTAAAAAGTGCCCCACAGGCCACAATAACACATTCACAAATCCTGTCCAGTTGGCGGGACAAAATGAAAAAACATTTATTTTGTGTGTGTGTGTTTTTAGCTTTCATTTTATGCAAAAGTTCAGCACTGACATCCTGCTAAACATCTCTTTTTGTGTTCAACAAACGAAAAGGAAAAATAATGACAGGGGGTTATTAAATGATGGCAGACTTTCCATTTTTGGCTAAACTGTCTTTTTAATAAAGGAATAATGATGTCCAATTACCCTCCATCCTGTGCTGTCCTCTTTTCTCTTTTTGTTGTTTGTTCTGCTTTTGTTTTGTATGTTCTTTAGTAATGCCATATGGATTTATTTATTTTTGTCATGCAGTTCAAAACACGAGCTGTGGAAAAGGTGTAA